ACAGTATGGACAGCACTGGGGGCTTCTTCCTCCCATCCATCCTTCACTGCTCCAGAATTATCTTTCTCAAGTACAGTGACCATGTCACTCTTCTACCTAAAAGTCTCTAATGCCCCTTGGGGTGCCTCAAGATGAAACCTGGCACCCTGAGCACAAGTATGCCCGGCTCCTCAGCTGACCTCACTGTCTGTTTCGCACCATGCCACATACGCTCTTAGAGCACTAATCCCCAATTCATCTTCCCCCAGAACAACTGTCTACTTAATATTTTTCTTTAAACCAAATACCGTTTTTACTCCAATAAATTTATTCTCATTCAAAGCAATGTTTCTAAATCAAGTTTTAATGTACTACTTGTAGCTTTACTAAATATTTAACTATCACTATTTAAAATTAACTTTTAAAATAAAAAATGTTAACTCCATGTCCCACCCACCTAAAACTATCAGTTACAAAACTAATTCTTCATGTACCACACATTGGGATGTGCTACTTTAGACAAAAAATACAGTGAGGGGCGCCTGGGTGGCTCAGTTGGTTAAGCAACTGCCTTCGGCTCAGGTCGTGATCCTAGAGTCCCTGGATCGAGTCCTGCATCAGGCTCCCTGCTCAGCGGGGGGTCTGCTTCTCCCTCTGACCCTCCCCCCTCTCATGTGCTCTCTCTCATTCTCTCTCAAATAAATAAATAAAATCTTTAAAAAAAAATACATTGAATTTTCACCACTCACTGTGCCTTTGAACCTGTTGTTCACTCCTCTTAGAGGATCTTTTCCTATTCTCTATAAAGTTACTCCCTTCCTTTCAGACTCAATCCAAAAGGCACCTCCCCTTTGAAGCTTCCCTCACTCATAAAGTGAGATGCTCCCCACTTGAATCCCAACGCAATTTTTAGCTGCCTCCACCATAACATTTATCACATTGTAGTGCCTCATGAAACTGAGTACTCAAGTCATCTTTGAGATATCCTGTTATCTACCTAGGTACTCAGAAAAATATCTGCTAAATAAATGAAGAATGATGAATTATATAGCCAAAGCTAAGCTAAACATACGTCACTCATAGTATAAATATTCGAGCATAATATTACTTCTGTTAAAGACATCCTAACTTCTCAATGTATGAAAGACTTCTCTGTAATGATCAAAGGGGACCAACTGGCAAGTTTAAAGGTGTTCCCAGTACACAGCAGAAAGAACACAGAAGAACTGAGAAGGGAGTATAAAATTACACTAGATTTCAGTGTAACATTTTCACCAAATGTTAGCTTGCAGAGGCCCTAGTTATCCCTTTTAAGAACCCTCCATTTAATGATCACTTCCTAACTGCAAACTTTTTAAATTAAAGCTACAGAAGCAAATTTAAAATAAAGCAGAGTTATCAAAGCAGAGATTAAGCATGGTTACTTCTGAAATGACCTCATTGAAAACAAAAATTATGCCACTAACAGGTGAGACACCCTGAATACCTGCTGGTCCCTAATACCAGCCCTGTGTTACAATCGAGGAAATGTCCTCTTCCTATTATACTTTCCTAGGCTTACAGAAGAATGAACCAGAAAATATTGAGAGATGTGGTCTCTGTTCAGGACTCATAGCCTCCAGAATTGTGAGAAAATAAATTTCAGTTGTTTAAGCCACCCAGTCTGTGGTAGTACTTTATGGCAGCTCTAAAAAGTTAATATAGGTACTATCCTGGCCTTCAAGAGAAGATAGGTATACAAAAGATAAATAGTATGATGAGAAGGGTATGATGAAGCAGATTATGAATATTATCAACTGAGCAGAACTTTATGAAGTGATTAAAATTATAATTATAGGGGTGCCTGGGTGGCTCAGTTGGTTAAATGACTGCCTTCAGCTCAGGTCATGATCCTGGAGTCCCAGGATCTAGTCCTACATGGGGCTCCCTGCTCAGCAGGGAGTCTGCTTTTCCCTCTCACCCTCCCCCTCTCATGCTCTCTCTCTCTCTCATTCTCTTCCTCAAATAAATAAAATCTTTAAAAAAATAAAATAAAATAAAATTATAATTATAGAAAGTATGCAGCAACCTGGGAGAAGTTCATAAAAAATATTAAGTGAAAAGGCAAAATACCACAGTATATCTATTCTATGATAACTATAAAAGATGGTTAACAGGCAAAAAAAAGAAAGAAAACTTGGAAAAAATACAGGGTTTTTGCTGAAGTGAGATCTTTTTTATAAAGATTTTATTTATTTATTTGACAGAGAGAGAGAGATACAGCGAGAGAGGGAACACAAGCAGGGGGAGTGGGAGAGGGAGAAGCAGTCTTCCCGCGGAGCAGGGACCCTGACACGGGGCTCAATCCCAAAACCCTGGGATCATGACCTGAGCCGAAGGCAGACACTTAATGACTGAGCCACTCAGGCACCCCTGAAGTGAGAGCTTTGATGAACTTTCATTTTTAGTTCCTGACTGCTGTTGTAATAGCAATGACGCAATAAATTTAGAAAGATTCAGTTTTAAAAGAAAATACATAACTTTTTGTCAATTTAAACTACCATAGTTTACTGGATATTAAATAATGACAACATTAATTACTGATATATTCTCTCTTTCTCTTTTTTTTTTTTGTTTCACATTTCAGTTTAATTCAAGTTTCTGCTTTTGAGAAAGCTATTCTGAGAAGACTTCTGAAAGGAAATTCAAAGATTTTATGAGCCTAAACACTGTACAGAAACAGTCACTAAAAATAAGTAAGGACATAAGGAAAATAGTGTACTTGATTCTGTATTTGAAAACAGATCTAAAATGAGGTTCTATAGCCTTGCGTGGCTATGAACCTCAAAACCAGGCTCATTTGTAAAAATATCTGAGTTGATTTTGCCAAAGTAAAGTGAGGACAAGTGAAGTGAGCAGAAGAAATAGGTGTCCATCCCCATGAGGCAGCAGAAAGGATCAGGGCCCAGGCAGCCTATCAGGGACCCATGTACCTGACCAGGGCCCTTGTGCAGAAGGGGGAAGCCCCAGCAAAAAGAGCCCAAATGTCCAGCCTGTGCAAAGAGGCTGTTTGCACAGCAGACTTCCACATAAAGGCCACTGCATCCCTGGCAGCAATGCAGCAAAATCTGCATCTCTCCATGACTCTTTTGCGCAGGGCAGGGTACGGCATGGAAAAGTTAACAAGGTGGAAACAGCTGCCCCAAAGCTGTACTGGGTGTTAATCAAAAGCCACCTCCCAAATAGCAGGAAGGCTTATATCAAGGACCTTAATTTGCCCCCAAGGCCCTGTTTTTACCTTGATTTAGCAGTTCTCACTAATGGCAATCTGTTGTCTTCATCCCATACAAGGCCCCAGGCTTGGGGTTCTGTTGCTCCTATGGGCTTGCCTTTGGTAGTCCCTCAAGGAGAAAAGCTCCCCAGGAAGGAGATAGATAGAGCTTTATTTTTATCCCAGTTAAAGTCTCTATCCAATACATTAATCGCTACGATAACCTTGGTCCAGGGCATTTCCTGGAGAAGCTATAACCAGCTGGGGTTAATGAACTCTCCCTACCATTAATTCCTAGGAGAGGCCATTGGCCTGAATTGTTACTTAATTACTCTTCTGTGTACAGCTTCATAAAGCAATGAAATGCCTTCTTTCAGGAAGAAGGGAGATGGTAATGGGGGTCATCAGAGGCCATTAATTTTACAAATAGTTTGTTAGAAACTACAGTATGTTAAGAAGTCACTCTGGCCCACAAATCAACTCAATGCAGTCCTTATTAAGTCAAGATCTGAAACTTCCAGGTTTCTGTGATTTGCACGTGCAAAAAGTTACAAATTGTGCAGAATCTGGCCAAAATGTACATACCAGATAAGATAAACTTACTCATTTATTTTGTTGCTTGTGTTACCCCTTCCCATCCCTCCGACATACACACCCTAGAATGTAAACTCCATAAAGGCAGGGGCTTTGGGCTATTTTATTCACTATGTGTCCCTAGTACTTAGAACAGAGCCTGGCAAAAATAGGTGCTCCTACAAAGTTTCACTGTTTGTTGAATGAATGAGTAGTTAGTTGGCTACTTTATGGGATTGGGCTGCTGGTATTAGGACCCAGAGCTCCCACGTAAGTCATACTTGGGCAGGGAAAGTGCTCAATCTGCCAGAGAAATAAAGACAGAGGCTATCCCTTCAAACTGCCTAGAAATCAGAACCATTTAAACTACCACCACCAAAGGGAAGAGTTGGCCATGAAACATGTATCCATCTAGGTTCTGAACTTGGCACAAATGATGAGAAACCATTGCCACCCACCCTACTGTGACATACTGCCCCACCCAACCTATGTCAATAGCCAACTCATGACCCGATGGAAGGTTCTGAGATTCTATTGGATGGTTCCAGTGGGAAAAGATTAAACTCTTCAGAGGCTAACAGACTAGGGCAGAATCAAGAAGACATCAGAAGGGAGGTAGAGTTTATTGGAGAAAAGGAGGCAACTAAGTATCAGAATAAGCCAAATTATTTACTCCTGCTTATTTTTTCTGAGTCTTATTTAATACTAGAGATCTTAATATCTGGAGATCCTTGCAGAAGCCAGGCAAGAAAGCAAGAGATTATTTTTCAGGGCAGTTATGCACATGTATCCATGCTCATGGGGTCTTAAGAGAAGCAGCTGGGCACAGAGGGGAAAAAAAAAGAGATTTAAGAACAACTGATAACCTCTGTTGATTCCTATTGCCATGTAAACATTTTCAAAGGATTTTGTGTTGGTGAATCATCTCAGTATATGGCTAGCTGGATATATATTGAATTTTCCAGCACTAACGCTCTATCTTCACTGTATCCTTACTGAGGCATAATCATATCATGGGCAAAATAATCAGAAGGCTAAGTTTTATTATGTCCAAAATGTAGAAGTGGGAGGAAGGAAACCAGTTAACTTAACTTTATTCCTATCTTCTGGGACTCTCAGGTAGTTACTGTGTTTTATAAATAGACCTATTTCCCCAATTCATTAGATACATCTCTGCTGGTATTTTAGGGAATCTACAATGGAAGAACACAAGAACAATCAGCTAGATTATGAGTAAGTAGTCATGATTATGCAAAGCCACATCCAAGGACCAAGGTATGAAGCATGTCTGTTGTTGATTCCTTTCTTCATCTTCTAGTCTCCCTCTTTCCTTCAGCTCCTATCCATCCATCCTTCACTGCACTCCGCCCCAAGGGCCCCATGCCCTCCTAAGTGATAGCCATTGCAAATCCCCCATCCAAGCCAGCCCTTTCAAGGTAGGACTTTTCTCTTCCAAAATCATCCCTCATGCCTACTCAAAATTCCCTCTGCCTCACTATCTTATTTCCAGTTAATCATTTTAGAGAGAAACCAATTAATTAAGTGGCACACAAGAAAATGAAAAATTTATTGAGAGGTTCTCATGTGCCAGATAACTTTCTAGACTACACTAGCATTAAGTTACCATTATTTCATTCAAATTTACTTCAAAAAAATGTCTGCACTCTTGAAAGTGAATGCCTGGATTACTTCTGTGTGTGCTCAATGGAGTGACTCCCATAGTAGATTCTCAAGCTTTCTAGCAGGCAGTGAAGTTTTCAGATGTGGGAGGTGGGAAAAGAGTGAAGCCCTAACTGGTGGTGGAAACTTCTTGTGGCTCTGCATAAAGCAGGGTCCAACCATAAATCATGTACCAGCTAACTGAATAAAAGTACGTGATAAAAGTGTATCGCATGAGCAGGTTTTGTGAACAATTTGAGAAACCATTCTCTCCAATGCAAAAGGCTATTTAAGGAAGCAAAACTTCTCCTGGAACCAAAGTGGAGGTGCACTATTATGCTGAACACTTTGGACGAGAAAGGCTGGGTAAAATCTCCCTTGCTGAATGAGTTAAGAATTACTGAAACAGGGTGCCTGCGTGGCTCAGATGGTTAAGCATCTGCTTTCAGCTCAGGTCATGATCCTGGGGTCCTGGGATCGAGTCCTGCATCAGGCTCCCTGCTCAGCGGGGAGCCTGCTTCTCCCTCTCCCTCTCTCTCCCTCTCCCTCTCTCTCATGAATAAATAAAATCTTTAAAAAAAAGAATTACTGAAACAAATTGTAGAACATAATTAAGAAATACAAATTCATAAAAATGAAAAAGGAAAAGTACACTCCCAGAAATAGCCAGGCTAATGAGTTACATGTCTTCTAGATATCCTCTTTGGTACAAAGGTTATTGATCTTAAGATAACTGTCCCTTGTTCATTTTGGGGGCTGAGTTTATAGGTCAGAGAAAGTGGAAATCTTAAGATTGGTCCAGTCAAAGAGGAACATTAACAGTTTGAACATGGACCTTGAAAGGGATATGCAGAGAATAGATGAAGCAAATCAGGAACTTCTTCTCAAAATCCACAAGAAAGAAAATGAGATTCAGAGGTGAGTGTTGGGGCTTCATGAGGGATGTTCATAATCCAAAGAACCGGGTGGAGGAAAAGAAACAAAACTGAATTTTCCAGCTTACTCTGGCAACCTGTATCTTATATAACAAAAAAAAATTCTTCTGCATTCTTTGGTGTTTGTCTGTGGCTCAAACCCTGAAATATAGCAAGTTTCAAAAAGAATCCTAAGAGAATGAGTGATACTTACCTGATCTGAAAGAACACTGGGGTGTCTGACATGGGAATCATGTGAATCTTGCTTGTCTTATCTTTAAAGTGATTATTATCCTAAGGATCCAGGAAAGAAAGGATTTCCAACTTGAGATTTGTATTTACATCAAAATACCCTTAAAACTGACATGTGTTTTATCAGTTTGAAGGCTGTCATTCCTCATAGTGTGTGCTTATGTTATCCAGGCTGGAAAATGAGATCACTCAGACCGGAGACTTGGCTGAAGATGAGGAGTGGGAGAAGGAGAATTGCACCGCAGTGGAGAGGGAAAAAGCCTTGCAGGAGCTGGAAGAAGAAACAGCTAGACTCGTAAGCAAAAAGAGGGAAGAGTCATTTGATAGGTTTTATTCCTCAGCACTGTCAGATAAAATAGTGTCTCCTTTTTACATACAAAGAATAGCCAACTCCAAAGTCATGGCAGAATGTGTTCTTGCATGGGAAGGGGATGTGTGGAGGGTAGGGTTTCTCTGGTAATATTTAATATTACCAGGAAGCCCTGCATGTGGTGATCCCTGGTAGGCTGGTGTGTCCATACTGAGAACAAACCACAGGGCCTTTACCTGACAATATGCAGGAAGGTACAGTTACTGCAGGAAAATATCGCTGGGGTGAAATGGAGAACAATCAACTGAATAAAAGCAGATGATGGTATGCAGATGCACACTTACACTCTGCTTCTTTCTCTCAACAGGATAGGAAGAATGAAACTCTGGTCCACAGTATAGCAGAACTTCAAAGAAAGGTGGGGTGGGGCTCTTGTGTTCCTGGGTGTCCCCAAGCAGCCCCAGTCATCAAAGAGGCAAGGGAGGGAAAATGAGGCCTGTGCTGGGGATGGGTACTACTCCTGCTCCACTCTCCTGAGGCTGAACCTCATGACCTAAATGCCATGGATTTTGCCTGCAAGTGTCAGGTGAAAAGAGTGCATAGGGTATTCCAGGTATTCAGTGATCCCATGGGTTCTTCATTCTATCACAAAGAAATGGATTCCAACAGACACTCTGTTGAAGGAATTGACTGGGACCCTTGTGGTGAGAGGTTAATTTTACTTGCACTAGAGACTTTTAAAAATACTTAATGCCAAAAAGCTCCCTCTTCTTTGTCCAGGTATTCCCTCTACCTCAACTCCTGGTCAAAACACAGTGGACTTCTTTATGATTACTCTACTTTCTTACCCATGCCTGCAGCCCTGAGTAATCCAGCATGGATTAGGGGGTTCAGGGAAGTATTCCTGCTTTTGAGCAAACTCTAGTTTTGGTGGTCAAAACTAATGAGAAGATGGAGGTAGAATAAAGATGTTCCCAAAGACACCAAGTATCCACCAAGGGACCATCTCCTGGCAGCTTTAATCAAGGCCAAGTTCCTGGCTCCACACACCAGAGAATGTCTTTGTCTTCCATATTTTTTAATTTGATTTTTTTTTTAATTTGAAATGTATTTTTTCTATTTGAACCCATAGCTTACAAGAAAATCACATAAGGCAACCAAGTGTGAACAAGACAATACAAAGGGATCCCCAGAAGAGTCAAAGGTAAACAAAAAAGCAATCTCGAATGGGTTTGGGCTGCATGACCAGGAAACAAGCCTTCAAGTGGAAACACTGTCAAAGTTGGGACAAATTCTTTGTAGTTTCAGCCATGCCAGGCTTAAGCCTCAGCTGCTAAGTGCTTAATTCTCCTCTGCCCTTAGTAAGGAATTTCACTCTGAAGCCATATATTTTGTTCTCTCTCCATCAAAAAGAGCAGAACACAAATGCACAAATGTATATTAACATTAGAGGCAGTTGAAGTCCCTCATTTAAATCCTGGCCCCAGAGGTACTTAGAATGATATATGAATGGGCAATTTAATCAGTCCCTCCCAGCCTCGGTTTGAAAATTGAATGAAATTGTGTATATAAAATACTATTTTGGGGGAGTTCTAAAACAATTTTAAGGTGATTATTTAAGTGTCTGGCTGAAGCACATATATGAATTCACAGAGGCAGAGTTTAGATTTGTAAATCTACTGTGCTAGGTAATTTACACACCCTGTCATTGACTCCAATCCAGAAAAGGATTCATTCAATTGGTCCTTCAAGTATATAGTGACCTCTCCTAAGTGCATCATATAGTGCTTAGCATTTCCCTAATTGTGTTCCAGAGCTAAGAACTTGAGCACAACCACAACCCATCTGATCAAAGATATAAGATTTAGACTTTTTTATTCAGACAGCAGATAAAGTTCTTACTTGATCATTTCTGTAGGATTATCTCTTTGTCCTTGCCTTACCTAATTTCTCTTTTGCTTCTTTTTTTAAAAATGATGATGATGATGATGATGATGATGATTTAGTAATCTCTATATCAAACGTGGGATTCAAACTCATGACCCTGAGATCAAGAGTTGCATGCTCTTTTGACTGAGTCAGCCAGGTGCCCCTTTGCTTCTTTTTTCTTAAATTGATAGTTATTTTTATATATTTCATATAAGAACAAATAAAGAGAGACTTTTTCAGTCTCTATAAAGATAAAAATTATGTTTCACTACTTAACAGTATAATATATAATGGGCTTTTAAACAGATTGTCCCTATTTCTCAATCTCTCTTGCTTCTTAAACCCACATTTAAGCCAATACTTAAGCCCACGCTGTGTGCATAAAGCCTCTGAAGATATGGACACACTAAAAATAGAAAATGAAAGAAGAGAGCATTACTGCCCTATGTTCTGTTGGCCAAATTAGTGTTGATAGCCATAAAAAAAGAGGAAGTCCAAAGCCATCAAGTAAGCTTGCTTGGGCATGCCCATTAAGGAAACTTATTTGGAAAGAAAGAAATCTGGAAGCCTGTTTGTATCTCAGGAATAAATTCGAACTAGACTAGAAAGGAATGTGAGGCTCCTTGACTATCCTTGCCATAAAACTGCAGCAATCAGATTGATTTTCTTCCTTCCTCTGCCCAAAACAAGTTTTGCTAACAGAAAGCCTGCCAGAAACTAGTGCTGACACTTTAAGTCTGGCTATGCTGGCCACGTCAGGTGAGCTGATTCCGATAGACTCTAGATAGAGAGTTCCCAGTATAACATTGGCCATTATTTTCCTGGCAGCACTCAGCCCAGCCCTAAAGAGTTCCAGAGTATTATCAACCCTTTGAATTACTCCCTTCTGCCCACCTATTTTGTAGAATTCTCAGGTGGTATCTCTAATTCTATGAAATATACATAATCTCTGTTGCTTCTGTTCCTCTTGCATGCTGGTGATCAGTTCAGTAGTTTAATAGGATGCCTGCCTCAACTCCTTGTGACTCAGACCACTGTCTTTAAAATACAGTCCTTAGGGGTGCCTGGTGGTTCAGTCAGGTAAGCATCTGACTCTTGGTTTCAGCTCAGGTCATGATCTCAGGGTCCTAGGATCAAGCCCCATGTCAGACACCAGGCTGAGCGTGTAATCTGCTTGCAGATTCTCTCTCTCTCTCTCTCTCTCTGCCCCTCTCCCTATGTTCACTCTCTCTCTCTCTAAAATAAATAAATCTTTAAAATACAGCCCTTAGCAAGTGAAATAAGTCAGAGAAAAATAAATACCATATGATTTCACTCATATGTGGAATTTAAGAAACAAAACAGAGGAACATATGGGAGGGGGGAAAAAAGAGAGAGAGAAACAAGCCATAAGAGACTCTTAACAATAGAGAACAAGGGGCGCCTGGGTGGCTCAGTTGGTTAAGCGACTGCCTTCGGCTCAGGTCATGATTCCAGGGTCCTGGGATCGAGCCCCGCATCCAGCTCCCTGCTCAGTGGGAAGCCTGCTTCTCCCTCTCCCACTCCCCCCTGCTTGTGTTCCCTCTCTCACTGTCTCTCTCCCTCTGTCAATTAAATAAATAAATAAAATCTTAAAAAAAAAAAAAACAGAGAACAAATTGAGGGCTGATGAAGGGAAGTAGGTGGGGAATGGGCTAGATGGGGGATGGGCATTAAGGAAGACACTTGTTATGATGGACACTGGATGTTGTATGTAAGTGATGAATGACTAAATTCTACTCCTGAAACCAATATTGCACTGTATGTTAACTAACCAGAATTTAAATAAAAAATTGAAAAAATAAAATAAAAATTTTCCATTTAAATAAAATATAGCCCTTAGGACATTCAGCTCTTTGGCCCTAGATGTAATCCCCTGGAGGGGAAAGGAACTGTTAGAGGAGTCCAAACGTGAAATAATGGTAGCTAGATGAGAGTGGGAATAATAGAACTGAAAAGGGAAGGGAGGAAAGACTGCAGTATGTCCCCTCTGCCCATAGGATATATCTTAAATGCATCTATTCCTCTTTGTCTACTAGTACTATAACTACCACCCTTTTGCAAGCCACCCTAAATCCTTACCTGGAGGCTAAAGTAGACTCCTAACTAGTCCTCTTGCTTTTACACTTACCCCTAAACAATATACCTTCCACACATAGGAAAAAACTCTTCTTTAGAAAGAACACAAACCAGATTGTGTCTTTACAACTTCAAGCTCTCACCTGGCTTCTCACTGCAATTAGAATAAAGAATCAAGAGGCACCTGGGTGCCTCAGTTGGTTAAGCGACTGCCTTCGGCTCAGGTCATGATCCCGGGGTCCTGGGATCAAGCCCCGCATTGGGCTCCTTGCTCCTCAGGGAGCTGCTTCTCCCTCTCCCTCTGCCTGCCACTCCCCCTGCTTGTTCTCTCTCTCTCTCTCTCTCTCTCTCTGTCAAATAAATAAATAAAATCTTAAAATAAAAAAAAAGAATAAAGAATCAAAATCTCCAGAAGCTGTAAGGCCCTACATAATCATACGTGGCTACCTTTCCCCACCCCATCTCATTCTTACCAATCTCCCCTATGTTCCTGCCACATAACTTCTTCATACACACCAATTTGTGCTATTTCACAGTCTTGGTCCTTGCTGGAAACTCTGCATGGGAAATATTTCTTCCAGATCTCCATTTGGCTAATATTTATATTTAAATTCAACTCAAGAGTCATCTCACCTCAAGTTTGACTCCCCTCCATTAAAAAGACATCTGAAATTGGTCCTGAGGTACTTGAACCACCTGTAAGATAACCTTTAAGATCCCATTTCAGAATGGAATCCTGCTTTTGCCTGGCTGAGTTACCAGTCTCCTTCACTTTCTGTAGGCCAAGTTACAACAGCTGGAAGCTTCCTGTGCAGACCAAGAGAAAGAGCTAGCCAAGGTAATGACAATAACTTCAATGTTACTTCTCCCAAAGGAAGGAAATCTTGATCCTTGGTCACACAAATTGAAGGAATGTATTAGATTGTGTGAATACAGCCCCCCAGATCACCTTCTCTTTAACATTTTTTATAGGATACCTTCCAGCTATATCTTCAATAAATTAGTATCTATTTTTCTCCCAACTGTCCCCAAATAATTCTCATTGGGACTATAAAATACAGCTTTTTTATCCTTAAAAAAAGATATGAGTTTATATGTACAGCAAATACATATTTAGAACAATTAGAAAAGCACATTTAGGGCCTGGGGCCTAAAAGGAAGCAAGTACACTGCTGTTCTTATAGCAATTTACTAAGCAAAATTTAAGATTGAATTTTGGCTTCCCAGGTAATGGAAGATTATGCATTTGTGGCCCAGCTCTGTGAAGATCAGGCCCTCTGCATAAAGGTACAGTTTCTCAGTAAAGGGATAGCAATGGGTTTGTTAAGGTACAGGATGAAATGAAACCAGGCTTTTCAAAGAACAACAATTTTAATTCTTCAAGGTGGCATCACAAAGGCCTTTAGGGAGGACGACACTCTACCACCAGAATCATTCTATTAGTGCCCTAGTCTCCCAAGCTCTGTGCTCTTAAATTAATAATGAGCACTTTTTCCTATTTATAATCCCAATAACTGCAGGCATCTGCCCAGTGGTGACGTGCAGTGAGAGATCTGGAGTAGTGGAAGGCTGGGGGACTGGGAAAGGAGACAAAATGGCATGGGAATACCAACCATTCACATGGCAATGTAGTGTAATACATGCTTATTATGATTAGAAAGAGCATAAAGCTTCTGGCTAGTAACTGTGGTTTCTTTTATTTCTCTATGAAGAAGTACCAGGAAACTCTGAGGAAAATAGAAGAAGAACTAGAGACTCAGTTCCTTGAGAGAGAAGTGTGAGCTTTGGCAAACAAAGGAACATCCTGGTTTTAGTGGTAACTCCATCTCAGCCTGGGTCAGAGCAAACTTTTCTCTGACCAATTCCTATTTGGAATTGAGTGAGCCCCAACACCATATAACCTTCCCCTCTTTTAGTGAGCTATTAGATCCCTACTAAGCCACACCCATTTTAAAATGCAAGTCCTCCCATCTTTCTTAAAAGACTGCAGACATACACCTTCCTTCATAATTTTTCACATTACCAGTTATTTGGGTTTATATTAAGGGAAGGAACATGTGCTTTAAAAAGGGTTTGGTGGTCTGGCACCTTGATAAAAAGGGCATTCCATTTAAATTCTACAAAAAAGAACTAAAATTAATATCATCCTCACTTCCCCAAAATATATAGAAACAACCATATGGAATAGACATGAAACTAATCTCTAGATACAAACTAGGGCTATCATATTATGAAACCAAACCATACTATATGAAACTACAAACTTTAAAAATTAGAAATAATAGAGAAAAGCCCACCTCCAAAAAATTAATCCTTGAATTTATCAAAAGAGTCTAAATAGTGAGAAACTAAAGCCAAAAAACCTCACTTTCATTTCCTGACCCTCTTTAGAAGTTAAATCTTTTTTTTTTTTTTTTGAGAATGAAAAGAAATGGATTTATTTGAAAGTGGAGCATATAGTGAATAGGCACTAAGAGTCTATCATACATTCAACTCTCTTCAATCTGCAATAGCCTATTCACTTTTTTTTTATTCTTATGTTAATCCCCATACATTACATCGTTAGTTTTAGATGTAGTGTTCCATGATTGTTTGTGCATAACACCCAGTGCTCCATGCAGAATGTGCCCTCCTCAATACCCACCACCAGGCTAACCCATCCTCCCACCCCCCTCCCCTCTAGAACCCTCAGTTTGTTTTTCAGAGTCCATCATCTCTCATGGTTCATCTACCCCTCCGATTTCCCCCACTTCATTCTTCCCCTCCCGCTACCTTCTTCTTCTTCTTCTTTTTTTTTTTTCTTAACATATATTGCATTATTTGTTTCAGAGGTACAGATCTGAGATTCAACAGTCTTGCACAATTCACAGCGCTTACCAGAGCACATACCCTCCCCAGTGTCTATCACCCAGTCACCCCATCCCTCCCACCCCACCCCCCACTCCAGCAACCCTCAGTTTGTTTCCTGCGATTAAGAATTCCTCATATCAGTGAGGTCATATGATACATGTCTTTCTCTTTTTGACTTATTTCGCTCAACATAATACCCTCCAGTTCCATCCACGTCATTGCAAATGGCAAGATCTCATTCCTTTTGATGGCTGCATAATATTCCATTGTATATATATACCACTTCTTCTTTATCCATTCATCTATCGATGGACATCTTGGCTCCTTCCACAGTTTGGCTATTGTGGACATTGCTGATATAAACATCGGGGTGCACGTACCCTTTCGGATCCCTACTTTTGTATCTTTGGGGTAAATACCCAATAGTGCAATTGCTGGATCATATGGTAGCTCTATTTTCAACTTTTTGAGGAACCTCCATACGGTTTTCCAGAGTGGCTGCACCAGCTTGCATTCCCACCAACAGTGTAGGAGGGTTCCCCTTTCTCCGCATCCCAGCCAACATCTGTCGTTTCCTGACTTGTTAATTTTAGCCATTCTGACTGGTGTGAGGTGGTATCTCATTGAGGTTTTGATTTGGATTTCCCTGATGCCGAGCGATGTTGAGCACTTTTTCATGTGTCTGTTGGCCATTTGGATGTCTTCTTTGGAAAAATGTCTGTTCATGTCTTCTGCCCATTTCTTGATTGGATTCTTTGTTCTTTGGGTGTTGGTTTGATGAGTTCTTTATAGATTTTGGATACTAGCCCTTTATCTGATATGTCATTTGCAAATATCTTCTCCCATTCTGTCGGTTGTCTTTTGGTTTTGTTGACTGTTTCCTTTGCTGTGCAAAAGCTTTTTATCTTGATGAAGTCCCAATAGTTCATTTTTGCCCTTGCTTCCCTTGCCTTTGGCAATGTTTCTAGGAAGAAGTTGCTTCGGCTGAGGTCAAAGAGGTTACTGCCTGTGTTCTCCCCTAGGATTTTGATGGACTCCTGTCTCACATTGAGGTCTTTCAACCATTTGGAGTCTATTGGATAGCCACATGCAGAAGAATGAAACTGGACCATTTCCTTACACCACACACAAAAATAGAAGTTAAATCTTAAATCAGTTGGGAAGTATTTCCATTTATTAAATATTTTAGAATCTTAGGATCAAGAAAAAAAGACCTAAACTGCACATAGCCTCTAAGTAGACTCAGTCCACACTGTGGCCTGGAGGCCAGGATACCAAAACTTGGAGGTCCTTGCCCCATTAAAGGACACCTTCAAGTCTCCTGAGATCCATCCTGAACATTAAGTATGGCTTCATTGCTAAGCCAAGATTTTAGAATGGAGCTGCCCAATGGAACTTTCTGTGCTATCCAATATGTAGCCACTAGCCACGTATTGAGTCCTTAAAAGATGACTATTGTGACTGAGGAACTGATTTTTTTTATTGTCATTAAATTTAAACAGTTACATATAGTCACTGGCTATAATAGTGGACAGTACAGCTTTAGAATATAAAACTGTTTTTAAATAACTGTGATGTAGTATAAATATTTGTATGTACTTTATTCAGTCCCTATCTTGGTTCTTTTTCCCCTAGATCAAAAGTCCTGAGCATGAATTCTGTAAGAAAAGAGTCTAACAGCCAAAATAACAAGGTAAGCATTTCACTCCACCTTCAGCTTCTCTCGGTGTCATTGCCTTCAAGGGAGTTTCCAAAACACTATCAGCCACCAAACACATACCAATCTTTCCATGTCATTTTCCAAGAATAGTACCAGACATAATTCTAAAGCATTCCAACCCTAAACACATAAACAAAGAATATGCTATAGAACAATGGTTTTTCCTCTCTCGGCACCATGCAAATGATGTGTTCTCAAAGGAACTAGCTTAAGACCTCACAGAGTTCAGGATGGAAGCAAGAAGGAACATTAACTGAGGGTACGCTATATGGAGAGAAGGCCAATATAGGACACATATACCATTCCTCCCATCTCCCAGAATTACAATATTCTTTCCTGGTGATCCCAACATGGTCCCAAATCTCTCACTACACAGAGCACCAGGGCATCTATCACCATCTAATCAGGTTGGCCCATGAGTTAAAACATGAGAAGTCATTACTTCTTTACAATACAGCTTCAGTGTCTGTTCATATTTAACACCATGATGTCATTAGTATATATGTAGAAGTCTAAAGGACACAGAATTGGATGTAGAGCACCAGGCCTCTTGGCCTGCTTGGTGTCTTGTGGCAGCAAGTACATAGGGCAAAAAGATAAAACTTTTGTCAGACTTTAATTTTGTAATTTTTATTGGCTTTAGAGCCAAAATTGACATTCACCAGAAATTTTATCATTGAGATACATGGTCTTCATAATGTCAGAAAAAAATAAGTCATCTCTCCCTAAAAAGCAAATATCAACAATCAACCATTGTCCTTCGGGTCATCCAGGTGTTTGGATACATATTAGGCCACGTTCACAGTGACCATGGTTCCCATTGGGAAGTCATGGGTCACTCTGGTCCCAACCTTGCATATTATACAAGTCATTCTGGTCCCAACCTTGCATATTATACAACAAACAAAAACAACAACAACAAAACTCTTGAAATTAATTGGACCCCACCTCTCCAGAACCAAGCTTGGCATGTTCCCTGATATATCCCACCATCTATCCCCCAATGACTCATCAAAGTATTCCTTCTAGCAGACTTGTCTTCATCAAGATTACCAAAGTCCCATAATGGTTCGATGATCTATGATGTTTGAGCAATCTTTACAGAGTCTGCCTGAGCAACTGACCAGTTGACATGCTGCTTAAATTCACTCAAGTTATAGAACCAAATTTGTAACCCAGAAAGTTTTTTTCTAATTCTAATTCTGTGAGTGTCATTTTCACAATTTTAAAATGTGACTGTAATTCCTCTTCATTTTTTATCTCACAAGGAAGCTAAAAGGAAAATGAAATAACTGAGAAAATATTTTGGAAGAGATGCCACAGAAATCCAGGATATATCCTCATCTTTACATTTTTTATAGCTCTTAAAACTTTTCTTAGAATATATTTGTGTGCTGGGCACCTGGGTGGCTCAGTTGGTTAAGCGACTGCCTTCGGCTCAGGTCATGATCCTGGAGCCCCTGGATCAAGTTCCGCATCGGGCTACCTGCTCAGCAGGGAGTCTGCTTCTCCCTCTCCCACTCCCCCCTCTTGTGCTCTTTCTCTCTCTCTCTCTCTCTCAAATAAATAAATAAAATCTTTAAAAAAATAAAATAAAATAAAATAAAATAAAAAGAATATATTTGTGTGCTTTTCATAACCTATAAACTTCTTTAAGGGTTACTGGTTAAGTAGGAGGTAAGAGCATAGTTGAAAGAGCCCTGAATGCATATTTGAAGGACCCAGGTTCCAAGCCTGGCTCTGCCACTTATTAGCTGTATGAAATACCTTACCATTTTATGGCTTCAATTATTCCTATCAACATATAAAAAAGTGATACAAAATTATACACACACATACACACACATGCATGTATACATATGGTTGTCTTTAAAAATTCCATCTGTTTATGCACATAAGAAATTGTAAGATATTATCTAAATATAACATTAATGGCTCACTGAATATTATTTGACAGTGATGATAGCTTCCAAAAATTGCTTATTTATCCATGTCCTTTCTTCTCCCAGGATCATTCTCTCCAAAAGAAGGGAACACGGTTCTGCAAAAGGTAAGCAGACATCTTTGAGTAAACTTCCTGGAAAACTGGGAGTTCCACTTAGCCATCCTGGCAGATAACAAAGTCTGGACAAGGAGACCCTTGTATACATACACACACCCAGAGTGAAGTCAAAAAACTAGTGTCATCGATGACTATGTTTCTCAGTTCTAATGTATGACTTCCTTGTCCAAAGGCAATTCCTTTTTTTTAAGATTTTTATTTATTTATTTGACAGAGAGACACAGCGAGAGAGGGAACACAAGCAGGGGGAGTAGGAGAGGGAGAAGCAGGCTTCAGGCAGAGCAGGGAGCCCGATGTGGGGCTTGATCCCAGGACCCCAGTATCACGACCCAAGCCAAAGGCAGACGCGCAACGACTGAGCCACCCAGGTGCCCCCAAAGGCAATTCCTAATCTCAACTTTCCAATCTTAGAAGTGAATAGCCTAGTACTAATCAGAAATAGGAATTTTATCACCTAAGAGAAATGTGGCAAACTGATACTTACTCCCTCTTCCCTTTAACAATTTGAATTAGCTTGATGGGTTCTTGTTCTCCAATAACATCAGTAGATTATGAATGGGAGGATCCTTTTGTGGTTCGTAAAATGATGAATAGGGTTTTCACACTATTGTGTCAGATGTGCCTCCCTCAAATACTGTTACAATGTCAACATGTTACATTAGAAATAGTACAGAACTTGTAAATGCACATATTCCCCTGCCTAATAGCAAATAAGACAGAAAATGATTGTGAAAGAGATCATACCCAACAGTACCCAGCCCAAAATAATTGCTCAAAAATACTTGTTAAACTGAATAAGAGCTCAAGATTCAAACAACCAAGTGGATATTAGTCCTGAGGGAATCGCTGTGATAGCAAAATAAAATTGGGATTCAATGAAGCCCCTGCATTTCCAAGAAAAGGTCAGATTATGTTCAATATAATTTGTTTAAGAAGGCATAGAGAAACATATATTCAAAGTGGTATGAAATATGATTTAGAAAGAGTTCCATCAAAATGGTTAACATAAAATTATTGTTGCTTAAATGTCACCTCCAATTGTCTGGAAAACTTGCTTATGGGGGATACCCCTTCATACCAGATAAGTGAAGTGTTACATATTTGGATATCCCAAAATACAATGTTCCCAGAACAGCTAGCAGAATTTCCCTAGAATTCCCAGGCTTCTTTAGCATATAATTTGACACCAGTGCCTCACATGGAACTGCCCATGTGGGTTCCCAGGATAAGAACTGTCTGCCTTGAAAGAGAGTTAGTATCCTGAAGAGAACCTGACAGCATCCTAAAAGTCTAGCTCATCATATCAAACTACAAAGATCTCTCCTCTTGCTCTGCTCCAATATCCTATGGGGCACTGGTATATTGGGCACTGACTCAAGAGATAAGAAAGCTGGATTATTCCTAAGATTTTCTCTGGGAATGTCATCCCAGAAATGTCATCCCAGAAATGTCATCCCAGAACTTTCTCATGAATACTGTATTTAGCTTTAAGGAGAATACTAGGAAGAGGTCTGTAAAGGGTTTCTGGTTCTAATTCTGACCAAGATGCTGTATATAACAGATCCTGCCTCCTGTCACCAAGATCAATTCTAGAGAAAAACTTAAGGGAACTGGTGGGGAAGGGGCTGTTTTTCACTGGTAGGTGGAGGTAGGTAGTGAATTTGTTCTACAGCAGACGGCAGCCTAGCACAGCTGGATAAGGGTAATACAGGAAAGGAAAAAGTGGAGATTTGCTTGTGCAAATCACAGTAAAACCACAAGGCCAAAATAATTCATCAGTTAAAAAAGAAATCAGGACCACCATAGGGGAATTTATAGAAATTAGGAAACATTAAAAATAACAAGAATTAAAGAAGAGAAATACCATGATCATGGATAGAAAGCCATAATATCATAAATATATCAATTCTCTTCAAATGATTCACTTCAGTTCCAACCAAACTGCCCAAAAGGTTTTCATTACATTTAATACAATTATTCTAAAATATACTATATATAGAAGAATAGAGTCAAAAATAACCTGGGCAATTTTAAAGAAGAGCAAGGAGTGGGGAATATGCCCTTCCAGATATCAGGACTTTCTATGAAGTTGCAGTAATTACAATAGTGTGATACTGTCACAGCAACAAGAAAATCAACCAATGAATTAGAAACAGTGCATATATAGAACTTCGATATGTGACATGTGACAGTGATTGTATATCAGAAAGAAAAGGAAAAACTGTTCAATAAAAATGGTAGGGGGTAAAAAAAACAGTTATCCAGGTGAGAAAAAAAAATGAGATTGGATCACTACTATGCAGCATATTTAAAAAGCGAGGCCAGATGTGTTAAGGACTAAATGTCCAAAAAAAAAAAAAATCTTGAAAATTTGGCATCAGTTATCTCCTGCCAAATAAAAAATGGTCCCAAAACTTAGTGGCTTCAAGCAACAAACATTTATCTCACGGTTTCTGTGGATTAGGAATCTGTGAGCCACTCAGCTGGGTAGTTCTAGTTCATGGTCTGTTATCAGGTTGCAGTTAAGATGTTGGCCAAAGTTAGAGTCAGTGGAAGGCTTGGCTGGGCTGGAGGATCTATTTCCACGGTAGCTTACTCATACATCTGGCAAATTCTGCAGTTTGTTGGCAGGAGGTTTCAGCTCCTCCTCACATGGAGCTCGCCACAGGGCTGCTTGTGTATCCTCACAGCATGACAGCTGGCTTCCTCCTGAGAGTAAGGAGCAAACTGCAATGCCTTTAGTATGTAATCCAGGAAGCCACACACTGTCACTTCCATGATTCTCTATTCTTTAGAACCAAGTCATTAAGTCCTGGCCACACTCTAAGGGAGAAGAGTCTCTTGAAGTGCGTGATACCAAAGAATGTGTGGACATATTTTAAACTACCATAAACTGTTAGTAGAAAACAGTAGCAACTTTTAGGCCTTGGTGTAGGGAACAGTTCTTTAAATAAGACACAAGAAGCATTGATTCTAATTAAAGATTGATAAACTAGACTATTAAAATTAATAACTTTTGTTTTTTAACACCTTAGAGTGAATGAAAGTTATAAAGTAGAGAGAAGATATTCATAGTACACACACTGGAAAAGGATTGATATCAAGAACATATAAAGAACTTCTACAAATCAATAAGACTACCCTAAACAACCTAATAGATAAATGGGCAAGAGAAAACACATAAAATCTGTGAACAGAACAGATGTTCAGCATCATTGTTCACCAGGGAAATGCAAATTAAGACCATTACTTTACACCCATTTGGCAAAATTTTTAAAATCTGATGCTATCAAGTGTTGGAAAAAATATGGACTCACAGAAACACATACCCTGCTGATGGTTAGAAATTGTTGTAAATGCTTCGGAAAACAAGTTGGAAACAAAAATAAAACAAAAGATAAAAGAACAAGATAATTTCAGATAGTGATAAATGCAAAAAGAAAATAAAACATGGTAATGAAAGAGAGAGTAACAGGCAAGCCAGCATATGGGAAGGAGCTGCCTTTACAAGGCATTGTCGGTAATAGAGACAACAATTAGTGGGAGACATTTCAATATCAAGAAGGAGCAAGACATGCATTTAGGTATGAGTTTTATTTTGTTCCTGGTTTTCTAACCTCTGGTTAACAGTTTCTTGACCTTTTCTTTTCAGGATTTTTCAATATGTCTTTTTCACCACCCTATTTTTCATCAGACTGCTGGGCTACTTGTTTTTCTATATAAGTTTTATAAATCCAGATCTCCTTATCAACATACTGCCCAAGATATTGAGCAGGGCCATCCTGTGGAAGCTAAGATGCTTCCTCTTTCCATCTCTCACACTTGAGACAGAGGACATGTTACCCCACTGATCCCCAAGAAATATCCTTGAGCAAAAAAAGGCAAGTGGTGTCTGAGTCTGTAGACTAAGAAACGGCGGAATTTGCAGAGGGAAAAGGTTTTCTTCTGTTTTTTCCTCAAGGTCTGTCTACTTGATTACCTTCTCTTTCCATGTTGTCTTTCCAAGACTGACCTTGCCCAGGAAAAAGCTCTGTAAATAGATTTCTATGACTACAGGATAAGCTAAATAGTCCCAGATAGTAAACAAACTAGACCATTTTTAGAATAATGTCATAGACACTAAGCAAAGTTAGAGTTGACCAATTCTTCCAGAAAATCTTTAAAATCTGAAAGACTGGATCCCTGTTACAATGCAGAAGATTGCTCACTACTTATATTAGAATTATTTAGTTACAAATGACCTTAACTTAAACTAATTTATAAATTCATAGCAAAAAGAAAAAAAAGGCAGGGGGGTGGAATATTGCTTTGTGCAACTAAAAGTCTGGGATTCCCAGCATGGCTGGATCCAGAAGTCTAAAAGCAAGATTAATGGGGTTTCACCACTCTCTTTGAATTGGCATTTTCCTTTCAGTGGCAAGATACTGCCAAAAGCTTAAGTCCCACAGTACAAGATTAGCAGCCTTGGCTAAATGAAACAGTCTTTTCAACAGTTCCGGCAGGAAACTTCAGAGAAACTGCCTTAGTTGAGGCCAAGTGTCTACCCCTGCCCAACACTCAGTGCAGCCAAAGGAATGGGAGTACTCTGATTGGTCAAGCATGAATCCATGAATCATATTTCCAACCTCTTGTGGAGGTTGATAAGAAGAAAAGAGATAAGGGAGTTAACCCCACCTAAACTACATGGAATAAGTTTCCCTAAGAAGAAGGGGCTCAGTTCGCAAAGAAAGGAAAAGAGATACTGGGCAGGCAAAAGCAGATGTCCACTTAATCACTAGTTTTAGCCTTACACATAAATATCCAATCTTTTCCATCTTTCTTTTTTTTTTTTTTTTTAAGATTTACTTATTTGAGAAAGAAAGAAAGAGCATGTGCACACGCACAAGCAGGGGAGGGGCAGAGGGAGAGGAGAGAGAGAATCTGGAGGAGACTCTACACTGACCACAGAGCCCGACACAGGGCTCAATCTCATGACCCTGAGATCATGACTTGAACCAAAACCAAGAATCCGATGCCTAACTGACTACCCAGGCACCCCAACATCCAACTTTTTCAATTAAATAAACTCTTAAAGTTATAGTTCACTTTATAGGTCTTCCTGCCAGTAAAAATTTTAACCTTTCAAGATCATAGATTAGATACGGAAAAACTACTGCAAAAAACTCAGTAAAAGAACCATGTAAAGAATCAGATTTGGGGGCGCCTGGGTGGCTCAGTCGTTAAGCGTCTGCCTTCGGCTCGGGTCATGGTCCTGGGGTCCTGGGATCGAGCCCCGCATCAGGCTCCCTGCTCGGGGAGCTTCTCCCTCTCCCACTTCCCCTGCTGCTTCTCCCTCTCCCACTCCCCCTGCTTGTGTTCCCTCTCTCGCTGTGTCTCTCTCTGTCAAATAAATAAAATCTTAAAAAAAAATCAGATTTGTAGGGCTAAAGCAAGGATTCTAAACTAAATAGCATATGATTAATATAAACTGCTTCACAAACTTGGGGTAACCTACATATGGTCAAACCTCTTATTTTTCCACTTAATTACTAAAGCATCCACATGCCTTATTAACAAGATATATTCAAACTCCCTCTTGAAGCTTCCTGACCCTCCTAAATTATCCTTAGCCTTGACAGCTCTGAAATCCAAGAGCAGCAAGGGCTCATTCTGGCTTCCACACCAGCAGGGAACAAACGTAAAGACCCCTTAGGTCATTACCTCTTGAGGCCACACAATGGCACTCCTGAAAACTAGTCCTGCACAGGTTGAACAAATAATTTATCATCCAAACTGAGACATGTGATAATAGAAAAGGAAACTATTAATAATTATGCCAGGACAAGAGAAATCAAACAGGACCGCCTCAACAGACCAGGACATATGATTGCCTTATGTGCAGTCTAAGGCCCGGCACAGCGTATTTTGCTGAGGGAAGTAGGTCCCATTCTTCAGTGTTAAGTTCAATCAAGGGTGCCCTATGCTTAAGGTCTCAGTGCCAGAGTTCAAGGTACACCTCTCCTTCCATTCCTATACTGAGCCCTCTGTCCCAGGGTCAGTTTCTAAAGGCTCAAGATTGAGTACAGTTTTTGCCAGCCTCACCCTTGCCTCCCCAGGAAGTCCTTTGGTCTGGGAAGTCTGCCTACTCTCAGGACACCCACACTCTGGAGGTCAGGGAGCTGTTCTGAAGACTCAACCCTCAGAATACAAGGGCCCAATGAAACCCTCTAGGGGAGGCTCCAAGGAGCACATCTTCCCTTCCAGGCACTTTTTAGACTTTTATGGAACTTCTGTCCCTAGAGAAGAGAAGCATTCATTTACTGAAAGTCAGTGTTCAACCTGCCATTCTTTTCTATGGTCAAACCTGTGTTTTCTAACTTGGTATCAACTGGTCTGTTTGGGCAACATCTCTATTCATCTACATTCCAAAATAATTGTTCCTCAAAATGATGAGTTCACATTGCTCAAGATTTGAGAGCAGAGGGAAAGTAAGAGAAAAGGAAGAAAAAGAAGTTAAATCCCTAGTACTGTGTAGTGTTGGGGATATAAAGATAAAGACAACATAGCGTTTATCTTTGGGAAGGTGAAAAGAAGAAACAGATCACATGCGTATATTTTGAGTCCCACAATAGAAAAAAAAAAAAAAAAAGAGGAGGTAATTCCCCATGCCTATGTCCAATAGAAGGTGACATCAGACCCAAGGATTATGCTAGCCTGAGAGGAAGAATGACACTAAATAAGCTGACCATGTGTCAGCAAAGTCATTCTCTACTGAAAGACTAAAAGCATCTTCTACCCTAGATAGGTATTTTAAATAGAAGTAACCAAACAGAAATACCATAAAATTGAGCAACTCTCTTTCTTGACAAATTACCTATAATGGGTAAATTATTTCTTAATCCCAGGCTTCAGAAAAAAACAAACCCTTTTCTCCTGGCAATTATTAAAGTAAAATACAAAACACCTGTAATCTGACAGTACAAATAACTCTGAGTTATTTACCCACCACCCTAAATGAAAATACCTTCCACCATGTCAATAAAGATCTACATTGCATGCACCACTTATTCCTACACTGAATGGCACTGGAATTCTGGGATCCAGTGGAATCTAGCAGTTTATTCACACTGGTTGGCTGATACCACATTAAACTGGATTTCATTCTTGGCAGACGGGAAAGATAAGGTGGGCCAGCTCCCATTTACTAGTGTCTTACCCCATGATAAAGCAAGAAATCCACACCTTCTAAACTCATGAATTTGAAACTCAGAATCATGAAAAAACAGTACTCTCCCACATTGTGGTTTCAGAGTCATTTATCTTAAGAAAAATTTTTTAAACTTTTTTTATGCATATTTCATTGTTCACTGTATTTTCTTTGCTGTAGCCAAGTGGAATGATGCTGAAAAAACAGCTCAAAAGTTATTGTAGAGGACATGAATCCCTAATGCCAGCTTGAAATCCACAGAATTTCCCTGTTTGTTAAGTAAAGGTAAATGTTGACTGTGTTGTTTGGGGTTGTACCCAGAAGATAGTAGCTGAGAGCATTCAGAGCACGAGTATCTGCTCAGAGGGTAAAGAGAACCAGCCAAAAAAAATTGTTCCCAGAAGGTAGAGAAATTCAGCAAAACAGTTTTCATCATGTAATATCATTGCTGTAGGAGATTCTGTGGTATTTTAGACGATTTTATTAAAAAGAAGGAGGAGGGAAGAGAGAGGAAGAAAAGGGAAGGAGGAAGAAAAAAGAAAGGAAGAAAGAAAAATATAATGATCCCCTACTGGTATAAACTTTTGACCATGAACTGCTGGTTTATATGCTATATGCCTTTATTTCATCACAGCTATCACCTATGCTTTCTTAAAGTGGTATCGACTTCCTTATAATACTGGGAAGTAGAGTTGTTTCAAAGGCAAGGTTCAATGGTTAAAATCACTGTTTTAAAAGTTCTTTCTATTAAAGAGTAAAACTAATAGAAACTGTTCTGTGTTCGCAGTGAAAATGGGAAGGGGGCATTCATATGTAATGTGGGATCAGAGCCTGCCTAGAAACAAGTACAGGGGAGGAAAGCTGCTATTGCTTCTCCTGCTGAATATTTGCAGCTGAGACTAGCTGTGTCAGCGTCCTAATCGTTGCAGAAAACAGAGCAGCTTGCTTTGGCTCTGGAGTGGTGCTCTTCCCTCAGGACTTCATTGTGGCTGCACGGTTCCCTCAGGAACAGCAGAGGGCACTGTTCCACGGTATGCAGGCACTCAGAAGCCATTTCTTTGCATAGGAACAGTATATCCCTACTGGATGAGACCAGACAGTGGAAGGTCCAGGATAAATGGCCAATCTGTCCCATTTTTCACAGGTTCATAGGCCAAAGCCATGTTTGAACATCAAGAGCAGAGACGATATAATACCCTATCCCAAGGACTGAATCACTACCTACAATTATAATCTGCCTAAAATCTTCAGAATGTGTGTCTTGAGTGAAAGGATTTCCTTACAAGTCTCTGCCTACCATGAAGCAGGATTCCACACTTTGATAAATCCCTAAAATAGATCTCACTCCACAGTGCTACTTCTAGGAGTGTTAAAAAATAAATAAATTTAAGATTCATGGATGGGTGAAATACATAAAGGGCATTAAGAGCACACTTGTGATGAGCACTGAGTAAGTCATAGAATTGGTGAATCAGTATATTGTACATCTGAAACCATCATAACACTGTGTGTTAGTTACACTTCAATTAAAAAAAAAAGATTAGTGGAGACAGAGGTAAAGGATGCATGTTGCTCATCACTCTTCAGAAACTGAATCAAATTCCCCTTTGGTCATGCTTATTTTTCATTTTCAAAATCTTCCCCCCTCCCAACTCTTCAAACAAT